TTTTTTTTTTTTTTTTTAAGTACATTTTTTATTAAAGAAAAATGTCCTTAACAACATAGTGAAAGGTTGGAAACCTATTTCAAAGTTGGGGAACTAGGTAAACCTTCTCTTTACCACTCAGCTGTTAGTTCCATATACTGGGATAAGTTGTCAATTACTGTGAAGCTGGAAATTTTGTCACCAGTATTTTGAATATTAGTAGGGTCACCCATGGTGAATAGATTTCAGCAGCCCTTAAAGGCACAGAAGCAGGAATAGCTGTCCATTTCAGAATATGCCCTTGAATAAATTTTGAATAGGAGTGGGATATTTTTTTATAACAGTACCAGAAGTTAAAGCCTCCCAGGTTGGAAGGCAGTCAGAATACCAGTGGGGAAGATCTACCTCTTAGAGTCAGCCTTAGTGATGAGAATGGAGTAAAGCTTTGAGCCAGTGCAGGACTTGTGTAGGCTGATGATGTGTGACTTAGTTCAAATCTAGGAGAAACAGTTAAAAACATCCATTAATAGTTGAAACATGGAATGTATGAATTTAAGAAAGTTAGAAATTGTAAAAAAAGAAATAGAACTCAAAAGAATTGTTAGTTCTAAGCATAAGTGAACTTACATGATGGTCATTTTGCATTGCACAATCATTATTTACAATGCGGGAAGTGACAGACTGATGAGACATGGCATCACATTTGTTGTTGAACATGTCAGGATATGAAGTACAGTACTGGCATCAATAGCATGAGCTCCATATGCATAAAAGGGAGACCTTTTAATGTGAACTTTATTTAGATTTATGTACCAACCACTAAAGCCAAAGATGAAGAGACTTGAGAATTTCCGTCTACTTCTGAAGTTTGAGATTGTTCAAACATGCAGTCTCTATGCATTAATAACAGCAACGGGGACTGGAATGCAAAGTTGGAAAAAAGAAGGTTCCTCAGTGATTGGAAAAGTTATGACTTTCCTAATGGAAGTGAGACCAGAGATTGTGTTTGTTTGACCAGTGACTGACTTACTACAAGCACATTTTTACAGGGGCTATGGGCTAGGAAAGGGCAAATTTTGTAAGTGAACATGGCCAGATAGAATACACAGGAATTAAATCAGCTACATCTGTGGAACAAGAAGCTCAAAAGCTCAATATTAGTTAGGACTAGGCCAGTGACAAACTGTGGAACAGATCAGATTAACTAGGCTACTTATGTTTTATTTTCTCTAAAGAGAGACCACGGAGCTCTGGTGGTCTGTGGTAAGAAGCTGCACTGTAATCCTCAAGGCACTGGGTTCAAATCCACCAGCTGACCTGTTGGATTCATGGCCTCTGAAAACTTGCTGGGGGGTCAGCTATGGGTCAGGTCTGACCTGACAGCGCACAGCAACAATCAAGTGGAGAGTTGATGAGAAATAGGACAACCCTTATCTAGATAGACACTCATGACTGCAACAGTAGACTGCAGTGACTGTGAGGATCATGTGATTCTTAGTTCTCTTATACATGGGTGTCATGGACTTACAGTCGTCCTGTGTACAACAGAACTCACTAATTGCTCTGTAAAGAAGGTGAAGAGGCATCCTGTTCCTGCAATTATTTGTAGCCTATGAAAGAAACTCTGAGCAATTAATTCTGTTCTGTACTTTACATGATCTTTGTGAGTTGATAGCAAATTGACAGCACTGGATTTGTTTTTATGTTTGTAGGGAAAATTATTAATTTGGATTATAATGATTAGATAAGCAGTAACTGCAGTGAATAATTACTGTCAAGAAATATTTGTTTAAATGACTTTGAAAAGTTTGTGAGCCTAATTGAGTCTTTCCAAGATTCCTCCACATTATTTATCATAAGGTCCACTTTCCACACTCTTTATTTTATACCATGTTATAATGATAGTTTTTCAGAGTTGACTTTCCTTCATAATTGTTGCCAATATATGTTAAAACTTAATTTTCCTAAAATTTTATCATTTATGAAACATTTTTTAAAAATGCATGTACTTTGTTGCCTTTTACCAGTAACAAAGCATCTTTTGTAGTTTGTAGTGATTAAAATTGCTATGATCAGTGTAGTTTCATTATAAGGACTCTTTAACATAGTTTCAATGTACTATCAAAAGGCATGTGACATTTTAAATGTATAACAAGTTAGATAATTTTGAATGTTATTAACATTTTCTGGGTTAATTTAGTTGTAAAAATGAAATTGACTAAGTGTTAGAGTTTAGAAGACTCAAAATTAAGTCATTCACTATTTTTGTATATTTTTAATATGTGAACAGTGATGACTTTTTTGAAAAAACATTTTTAGATGAAACCAAAGATACTGAGGCCCCCACAGCACCTCAGAATAGCCAGCTAACCTGGAAGCAAGGCAGACAGCTGTTACGACAGTGAGTAATGTTTTATTTTCAGCTTTCTTTTAAGGATCTATGTATGAAGGTACTTATATTTAGTCATTTTGCAAGTAAAAGTTACTTAATTGTAATAGAACAATGTATATTTTTTAAATACTACTTCTTCTGTCCTTTAAAGTTTGTTTTTTCCAAGGTGATAGCATTTTCTTATTTGTATAATAGAATGTCCAAAAGACTTCACTTGCCTGCCAAATCCTTTTAGTTGAGTTTCTGGGTTTTAAATTAGGGTAAACAAAATTTTAGCCATCTTTAATTGTATAATTCATTGACATTAATTACTTAATTGCAATTTTTTTTAGTCTGTGTATAAAAATACAACAAAATATGCACCTGTTTAGCAGTGTTTATATGTACGATTCAGTAACAGAGGTTACATTGTCATCACATTATGTCCCATTCTCACTATCTTTACCTGTACTGTTTCATTAATCATAATTAACTTGTACTCCCTGCCCCTGAAAGTTCTCATCTAAGCTTTTTAGTTACTGTGGTTAGTTTGATCATATATATA